CCTTGTTTAAATTTCATATCAGTTGTTGGCAATCTACTGAATGGTTTTCTTTTCTGTGTAAAAGAAATTTAGGTCATTTTTATCCAGTGGCAATCATTAAATTTTGTTTTCCATGTGCTTAAGAAAGGAAGTTAACAAATTTGTTACACTTTAAAATACTAGTAAGTTTCTAATATTCATTAGGGATAAATATTTCATTCCTTCTAAGAGAATTTTTCTATGTAAAAAGAACAAAGAACAAAGACTGATTTTTTTTTAAACGCACATTTTATGTAAACCTGGGCCCAGTTTTATAAAGGACGTTTAGCACTAACCAGTGGATAAGCCTAACCAGTGGATAAATTCCCCTAACACCCATTAACTAAAAGATGGTTAAATTGTGTTTTATATACAGTCTTCTAACGGAAAACAGCCAATTAGTTAACTGGCCAGTGTTTGACTGGATTAAATAATTATTTAAAGGTCAGTTTACTAACAGACTATTAAGGTCTGGTTAGTGCTAAACGTCCTTTATAAAACTGGGCCCTGTATGTTAATTTCTTGGTTATACTGTCATATTTTTAACAGGGAAACTGTTCACAGGAACTGCAGATGGAAAGATTCTTGAAATTAATGGGGATGACATCAGAGTGGTAGCCACACTTGGAAAGCCACCCTGTGGTAAGAATGGCGTTTTGTGATAAAAATTGCAATCATGTTAACCATGTACTTGGATAGAGTGCTGGAAATTATCCATGCAACTCTGAAAATAAGATTAATAAAATTGATAAGAATTACTACAATCGATAATTAAAGATAGATAGCTAAAGAAATATTAATATTAAAAATATTAATTTAATACTCAAATTTGATTTGGTTCATAACTTTTCACCAACATTTTAAATTTCTGTATGAATGTTTTTTTTTTTTTTTTTTTTTTAATTATCAATTTGAATTGAAAACAATATCACTGGTATGTGCAAACCTTGCCTTACCACAGTAAACTAGCATTGGCATTTGTATCCGACTCAGTTACTAATGGTTTCCAAGTTATGTGTAGAAACGAGTCTGCTTAGGACATGCACATTTTTACATTTTCATTAATGATTGCTAGTATATTTTCATGGTGCATTACTGTAAGCAGTGCTGCATTTTGTTGAAAACATGCATTTCTCAGATAATCTCAGATTTGAAATGTACATAAACCAGCAGTTTACATTTCCTTCATTTTGTTAAAGTTCTTTTTGCTCTTGACATCCATTTGTGCATGTCTGTTCATGTAACATATAATGTTTTGCACTGTTCTCTATACTCTTCAGTGCCCTTGCTTATTTGTCAGCGATAAACATTTAATACTGTTTTTACTGTATGTGATGGGAAACAATTTTTGAGTGATTCTTTTTTTAAATGAACCTGATTTTATATGTTGATAGGTAAGTTTGATGATGAACCAACTTGTGGAAGACCACTGGGTATGAGGTTTGATAAAGATGGGAGTCTTGTTGTTGTGGATGCTTACCTAGGTTTATTTCGAGTCAATGTTGAAACAGGTAAGCGCCTACTATGGTAGTCACAAAATGTAGTCACTCGGTGTAGGTTCATTTCATGCATGTTTTCTGGAATAATAGCCATCACTTGTGTGCCTTGTCACTGTAAGTGTTCCGCTTCTGTCACTGTTTTTATAAAAGGAAAAATATGTTTCTTTTTATTCTGAAACTTATTTTTTCATTTATCACACATTGTCTCTAGCCATGTGCTTACTGCACTGTAACTGAAGCACATTTATCATTATTAAAAACTGGTGATCATCCTGCTGTTAAGCATTATGTACTTGTATGTTACATTGCATCAACATTAATTGATTCAAACCATTTTGTGTACTTCCATTTGTGTAATTGCTTCTTCATTAACTTTTTTAGACTTTTTTCATGTCAGTGCTTCCTTTACTATTGCCATTTATCTGTGTGCCCATTAGGAAGCTTTCTTGATTTTTTTTTAATGTCTTAAACCATGTGAGATGTGGAATTTTGGTTTGCAGGTAAATTTGTGCAGCTTTACTCGCCTGAGACTTTAGTAGATGGAGAACAAGCAGCATTTCTAAATGATCTTGACATTGATTCAGATGGGACAGTCTATTTCACAGATTCAAGCACTAACTGGGGCCGAAGATATAATAGATATGCTGCTATGGAAGCCAAAAAAAATGGAAGGTCATATGCAAAAACATAACTTGAAATTTATTTATGACACTGGTCTACTGAAAAAGCAACCATGCTGAATAGGAATGGTTCAATTATAATGCTATAGGGGCATAAAGATTTTTAATGAAGGCTTGTCAAATTAGCTGTCACTTGATTAATACTAAGATCTAATAAACAGATATTAGATCTTAGATTAATACATGGACAAAATTTATTATTATGTCCAAGATTAATAGGAAGAGATAAGGAGGGGGCATTTATTACATTCAATTAAAGTTGTTTTACATGAGTTGATATGCGTATAAACAAGCAGTTCGACCTCCTTTATATAAAGAAAAACTACTGTGCATTTGTTTTTATTTGGGATGTATGTAAGTATGCATAGTGAATGTTTGTGTATTTTTCTCTCTGCACAGGTTACTGGCATACAACCCCAATACAAAACAGACAGAAGTAATTTTGAAAAATATGAGTTTTCCAAATGGAGTACAGCTGTCCCCAGAGAAAGACTTCATCCTTATTGCAGAGCTTTGTACATGCAAAATACTCCAGTACAGTATAAATACATTATTGTGTGAAAATTCTGTCTTTGTCAACTCTTTGTTCTGTGACTTGAATGGAATTAAATGTTATCTTTGCTATGTTCCATAATTAATCAAAAACTTAATGCATACACCAGAAGTAAGTGTCAGAAAAAAAGAATTTGATTTTTTTTTTAAATTTAATATATTATATTATATTTTTTATTTTATTATATTAAATTATTTTTATATCTGAAAATGTATTTTCTTTCCAGATATCATACTAAGGGCCCCAGAAAAGGTGAGGTAGAAATATTCTCAGATAATCTCCCTGGTGCCCCTGACAATATTAGACCAAGCAGCAGTGGAGGGTACTGGGTGGGCTTGGCCACCACTAGGAGAGCTGGAAAATTTTCTTTGCTGGACTATACTAGTACAAAACCTTGGATGAAGAAATTAATTTTTAAGGTATTTGGCATGAAAATGCGCAATGTGTTTTAATCCCCAAAAAAGTTTGCATTTTTATGTACAGACACAGATGTGTCTGTACATATTGCCATCACCTGCATCTGTCGTCGCCGTCGCCGTCCCTGTCGCCGTCGCCGTCGCCGTCGCCGTGCACTTTCATCGTTAACACGATAAGTGGAAGACAGTTTTACTTTTTAGCTTTATATTTACAGAGCTGATGAATATTCATAAAACGCAGGTCAAGTTCGAAAATCAGCATGTTTGGGCAATTATTGTAGTATTTATGCTGTGTTTTCACTTTTTAGCATATATGCAACACTGTTAACACATTTCAAGGAAAACCGATAGGCCTGTTGTCATGAAACTCACAGGAGTAATTAATCTTACTNTCACTTTACTCAGGCATTCAAACACAGCATACAAAGACATTAAATTTTAAAAATGATTTTTGAACATGTCCATGATCATGATGGCCCATCAAAAATCCATCTCTATATCTTTTGCCTTTGCAAATGTAAGTGGAAGATTCTGATGTTTTACATTTTCCATTGTAAAAGTTATAAACATAACATGTTTCAGTGATATTAATTAAATGTTGAAAATCAGAAAACTCACTTATTTCACATACAAATTGTCCTCAACAACCTGAAATTTTAAGTCAGACATTAAGTTACTTACCTGAACCTTGGATCATAACTATCACAGTCAGGCACACCTGTGGGTTTCACTGCAGGATAATTAAGGAGTATACCATCTTCTCCTCCAAAGTACTGCCACTTCAGATTTGGATTGATGCGGATGTTTTCCTTCATCACTTCCACAACCCTTGCCGTAGGGAATTTTTTATTCACTGAACTCTGGCCTGCTACTGTCACACAAGCCTTGTCAAAGTTGACCTGTCAATTTTTGAAAATAAAATTTTTCAAATACGTGCATATGTACACATGCATACTCATGTGTTTTGTGCATTAGTGTAAACTTTGTATATGTGTGATTTGTGAATATCTGCCCCTGCATATGTATATATGCCCATGTTTGCACATGTATGTGTACATCACAAACCTCCTGACTAAACCTCTTGTCATAAGTAGCTTCCACCACTTGGCAGCACTGTGTCATAGATCTGACACTGGAAAAGCTGCTGTAGTCATCTTCAATGGCATCTTTGATCTTGGTCAGTGCAGAGATCGGACCTTGGAACTTGGTTCTCAGTGAATTGGCAAGCTGAATAAAATTTCAATACATGGAAAACATTTATATGAGGATTGGTGTAATGAGATTACAAGGCATCATTTGAAGTAACGTTGCCATGGGCATGATGGTGGTTACAATTTACTGACAGAGACTGAATTATCAGGATTGGTGATTTGTGTAACTATACAATTTATATGAAAACTTTGTGGGCTTTTTTTGGTCAACAGGTCTTCAAATGGCAACTCTATTTTAAAAAAAATTTAAAGAACTGAAACATATCTCAATGACATAAAATACTAAAAAAATGTTCTTTTCATTTCTAAAATAAATATAAGCATTTCACTTATATTCAGGTTGTGATTACTGAAATAGAAACAATTAAATCTTTCTTTCTGAACAAATATCTAAAGGTTAAAATCTATTTTCTCTCTTATATTTCTCAAAAGCCTGATACATGGAACTATATGATTTATGAAGACAGCCTATAATAATAAATGATAATGTAAATACATAATTACGATGTCCCACCAAACTCTTGAGTAATAGTTATCTTATGTTAATGTCCACAACTGAGAGTTCTGACCAAGTGGTACTGTGTACCAAACAACTCCCAAATATTTACTTCTCTAATATTCCCTGGTCCATCAATAGAATCTTCTCTATATGACACTTTGTCATATTCTGCCTGAAAAGTAAAAGATTTTAATCAAAATAATAACATAAAAACATTCTATGTGATCATTTAAAATCTAATTTGTACATTTTTTAGAATTATCTCCCTGATTATTTACTGTTGCCTCAATTTTTGTCCATATATATATAACAAGCAGAAAATTATTTCGCATATTTATTCTGAAAAATGTTTACATTTAATTGATTGTGCCCACTTTCTTATTTAAGCTATTGAACAATATTTTAAGTTTTAAAGTGAAAATTTATTTAATTAAATTTTAAAACACACATTATCTACACTCTTCTAGCATCAATTATCAAATTTTAGGCAACAATAATCAATTTTTGGCTTCTTTGTAATAATATAAAATAATGTTACTTTGTTTTTCAGGGCAAAATTTAAAGTTTATATGTCTTTTATACATCATTTTAATTGTCAGATTTAATTATTTCTATCTGCTTTTTTTAGCAGTCTTGTAAAGCCATTAAGTCCAATTGTGTGTCTTTTTAAATGAAATACAATGTCATGTAAATATATGGCATTATGCTCCATATAATCATTCAGTAACCACATCAGATGACTCACACCTACATTAACCTAAATTACATACATCAACCTCTTATCTTTTAATTTTATCAATTCTTGGAAAAGTAGCATGAATAATCAAACTCTCAGGGTACTGATGGAATACATGTAGCTCCTGTTACTGTTATTGAAAATTGCTATGTATAGGCTGGTGGCCTAAATATTGCAAAATACAGTCCGTAATGTATTTTTCTTTAATCAACAGTTTAATATTGACATAATTTACTTCCAATATTTTGATGTCTAACAGTCTCAGCAGCTTCATCAAGGAATGAGGCTATCCAGGTGAATAGCCTCTATTCAGGAGATATACTAGTACTTGCCCCCCCCCCCCCCCACACCCACTTCCATTGCCTTAGGATGGTACCATCATTTCTGTTGAAAATATATAAAACCAAAGTAACCACAGAATGTCTCACCTGCATCTCTTCTACCCCCAGTGCATCATTAGCCATTTCCCTTAACACCTGCCCTAATATCCCACCATCAATTAATGTGGCTCCACTGGACACAGTTAATGTGGCCAATATGGTTATTGCAATTTTGGTTATTGTCAGTATATGGAATATTCCTCCAGACATACTCTTTTTTGTATGTGATGTCTTGTGTTGTCTTCTGAAACTTGTTTGATGTTAACTGAAACAACAAAATTATTGGATTTGATTTTGATTTGATTTATTTCATATTTAAAATTAATCCTATACATAAAATTTTATGCATAAAGAGACATTATAAGTTCATGAATTACCCAATGAGTAAACAAAGGCAGCTACAGTGCCAGCTCTCATAAATGATAAATTAATGTTAGATTTGTCTTAATTCCAGCTTTTAAGTCTCAATTTTAGGCAAACTCCATGCATATACCTATGCACGGTGTGACTGAAATACGCAATACAGCGCAACACAGTGCAATACACTTCAAAAATCAAATCCAGTTGCAATTACACAAAAGAAATGACCATTCCCAGCAAAGCAGGGTGGTATAAAAACAACCTATATTACTAGATAGGTAATATTGTTGATATAACTTAACAAATCAGCAAGACCTTTATATTGTACGGTTGGCAGCCATCCCAGATAGCATGCAAACGTTGGGCCAACGTTGGCCCAACATTGCCTTGGTTGACCATGCATACGTTGGCCCAACGTTGGGTTTCCATCTAAGTGCTCACTTTGGCCAACGGTTGGCTGAACGTATTTGGCCAACGTTGGCCCAACGTTGGTCAATTTCAATGCTAACGCACTGCCAACATATTCCCAACTAAACTACGTTGGCCCTACATTGGACCAACTAATATTCAACGTTGGCCCAACAATTACCCAACCTGTAACCAACAGTGTATTTACGTTGGTTCTACTAATAACCAACATCGGTCCAACGATTACCCAACCTCAAACCAACATTGCATTAACATTGGGCCAACGGTAGGCCAACTGGTCACCGAGGTATCTGCAATTTGCACAATGATTAATGACCCAACCTAAAACCAGGGGCACAGTGATTTACATCATTGAACCAAAGGCAAAATAATTTTATCCAGAATCACATACGTAGTAGGGCACTGTAATAACATGGCTGATGCACAGGCAGATCAATGTCCTGATGAAATATCTTAAGCATCTGAAATCTACAGACTGCAAGGTATANGGCCAACTGGTCACCGAGGTATCTGCAATTTGCACAATGATTAATGACCCATCCTAAAACCAGGGGCACAGTGATTTACATCATTGAACCAAAGGCAAAATAATTTTATCCAGAATCACATACGTAGTAGGGCACTGTAATAACATGTCTGATGCACAGGCAGATCAATGTCCTGATGAAATATCTTAAGCATCTGAAATCTACAGACTGCAAGGTATAACTGAAAAATTAGCAAGCTAATTAATGGATGAATTCTTCAGAGGACTTGATCTGCCTGTGTTGCGGTAGAAACAAAAAGATTAGTGATATATTTTAAACTGTTTAATTAATTCATAACATTACATTAAACAATACCTTCAACCAATTAAATAATGTGATGGGAATGGGAAAATAATACAAAAAGAAATCTCAAAGAAACTGTTTATAAAAATATTATAATATTAAATTTAAACAATCATAAATGTATTTTATATGAATTGTTTAATGATTCATGTCAAGAAAATTATTACCAGTCCTGTGAAAGAACTTCCCACCTTATTCCTGGAGTCAAGGCAGTTTTTTTTTCACTATTATAGTGTTTTTCACCCAATCCAAGATTCACGATTATTTCAATTTTAAAAAAATCTTCATTAAATTAAATTTAAATCCAGAAACCCTTGATTAATATCAGGTAAGGTGTTTAAAATTCAAAAGAACTGTCTTTAAGTAGATAAGCTACTAGTAAGTCTATAAAATCACATAAAGTCTCTTCCTTCAGGCAAAATCTCAGACATTGTCTCTTCAAATAAAATCAGTGGTCATATGAATGCAATCTTCATTTTTTCTCTCTCGATCTTTCCTGTCCTGCGCCTGCATGATCTTTGGCAAAGCACGATTAGTTAGGTGTATCTTCAACATCTTTTTCTGAACAGTCACAGAAGAGTGTGCTGAATCTACAAATTTAAATATTGAAAATTTAACTTGCAATATAATGCTGGAATTATTATGCATATGCATCATATGCATCACATTTTTACATGCTTGACTATACCTCTTCCCACATCACTGTGTTCATATACATACTAGTAGTTGTGTATTATAATATAATATGATAATCTCCCCATGTTCTCTAAGTTAGGCAAAAGCTAATATCTTTAACTTTTACAAGTGAGTGTCTGTGTGTGCAGTAATTTATAGCAAAATTACTAGTAGTTCTTCCATGTACACTTGACCATGGATTCAGTTTTAAAGGGTTCAAAATCCCATACAACTGTACTGTATAACTGAATACTATATTATTTAGTACTACCAACAACTCTATCACAGAATTCACTGGCAAAGATTCATACAGACACATAAGAACAATTGGCTTTGAAGGACCATTAAGGCTCTAATTCAAGTAATTTTCAGGGAAAGGCATTATCCCCATCTGTGAATTATTGTCTGTATATATGTCAAGCTTGAAGTAATATTTTACCAAGGGCAAAAATGGTGAAATACAAACCCTCTTCAAACCTAATAGCAATGCAAGTACTTTTCAAAGTCACAAACAAAAATCAAAGTGCTGGACTAAATTTGAATACTGTGAATTCAAGGCTGTATGGATCCTGGTGCACTAGTAAATTATATGGAGAAATACAAAATTGAAAGACACTTACATGCTCACTTCTTATCCTGTCTCTTTATCTCTTCATTTTCTTTCTAGTTTCCAAAAGATGTATCCAGAAATCAATGTTTTCAGTCTCTTCCTTATAGAACATTCTTGACCCTCTGGCTTAGATGTTTGAAATGGCTTAACCGTTGCGCGCTTAAACTGACCTGATTGAGCATGCTGTAGGCAAACAGTTTATGTCAAACTGACAGTTAAGATAAACACCTGGCTTGAAATGAATTTGGTCTATTGAAAGTTACCAGTTTATTTTAATCACAAGTCCAGCTTAAATTGATGCTAACTATGAGGTTTACAATTTATATATTATGCAGTTGTACATTATAATAAGACTTCAATCATTTGTCTGATTTCAATAATAACAATAAAAAAAAAATAATAATAATAATAAATATAATGTTTTCGCAGCATTATTGGAAAAAAAATTTTTTTTCATTCAGTTCTTTATATAGGTGAAGTACTTGTAGTAGTACTATATATGAATGTTTATTGCTTGGAGGATAAATTAAAGCAGAAAACTGATTTTAATGCAAGGAATTTAAACTCATAATGAAAAAAAAATTTTAAAAAATTATATATGTTTCTTTTAAGCCTAATAACTCTATGTATATGATCAAAAGATAAGTATATGTGCTTCTCAGTTGTGAACAGAAACACTTTCAAATTAATTATTGGGTTGTTAATTGCATACGTTGACTACGTTGGCTCANATAGAGACGCGTGTTTTGTCAGATATGGTATGGGGTACAAGGTGGACCTTAACATTACTATGTGTGAAACATTTGCCAGGAAGACCATCTCAGCTCACCTTACATTAAATCTGGGAACGTGCTTTACCGCACAGTACTACCCGAGACTTTGAGGTCCCGGTGACAACTCAAGGCGCTTGGTGGGGCATTGCGTTAATTAAGTGCCACACCTAGACCACTGCACTGGCAAAAAATTACTAAAATTTACATGGATTGAGTTAATTAAGATTATATTTGACCTATACCGAGGCTCTGATAGTCTAGGAGAAGCAGTAATGGTGACGTGGTGACAGAGCCAGCGGAGCCCGGTGGAGATGGTGGATGATACAGGACTAAAACCATATGTGTGTACTGCCAGTGCCGCACTGGTGGTGCAATAATGTGAGGTGTTACCTACATGAAAATTTCAGGTGCCACTGAATATAAATGTAAGGTGTTACCCTGTAGAAGTGTCAAGTGTCATCCTATAGGTAGCAGACAGGTATCATCCTACTTTCAGCCATGAGGCCTCACCTACCTGTATCAATGAAGGTGTCAGGTATCACCATATATTAATCTGCCAGGGGTTACTCTATCAAAATTTCAGGTGCCACCCTACATCAAGATATCAGGTGTCACCTTATTTTAGGTTGTCAGATGTTACCCAGCTGTCACTCTTTATATGGTGCCAGGTGTCAACCTACTGGTACATGAAGGTTTAATGTGTCTCCCTACATGCTGGTGGCACCCTAACCCTTTTACCTTAAGTTTACTCCTTACTGAAGGCAGCATTCCAGTGATATGTGAATCTAAGCAGCGTCTTAATTTTAATTAAATAGCAGTCATGACTTATTAAATATGTACACGCAATGTTTTAATGATATAAATTGGGTAAACAATGGCACCCTCTTTAGCACGTGTATAATAATGTAAATGGGCTGTACTTAAACAACCTATAAAGCTTGTAGACTTTTTAAAAAATATATTAAATTTGGTTAGCTACTGCACCATATATAATAAGAGCAGTATTTTAAAGACATAAATGAACTAGACACAGATTATAGAGCTTGAAGTATTTTAATCACTCTGATAATAGTATATTAAAATTTATTTAACAAATAAATTGATTATATATATGAAATTGATTTCTGTCTCTTAAAATAATTTTAATTACTTAAAAGTGATATACCTGGTATAAGTCCAACATATTACAAATCAACATGAGAATCATGAGTGAGAATTCAAACTTGACACAGCTGACAGGATGAAACTTGAAAAATCTCTTATTGGCATTAAAATTTAACAATTTGTGTACTATGTAAAATGACAGCATGTGAGGAAGGCTTTCAGGTAGTTGTATAAAGTAGTTGTATAAAGTGACTACCCAGATAGCATGCAAACGTTGGGCCAACGTTGGCCCAACGTTGCCTTGGTTGACCATGCATACGTTGGCCCAACGTTGGGTTTCCATCTAAGTGCTCACTTTGGCCAACGGTTGGCTGAACGTATTTGGCCAACGTTGGCCCAACGTTGGTCAATTTCAATGCTAACGCATTGCCAACATATTCCCAACGAAACTACGTTGGCCCTACATTGGGCCAACTAATATTCAACGTTGGCCCAACAATTACCCAACCTGTAACCAACAGTGTATTTACGTTGGTTCTACTAGTAACCAACATCGGTCCAACGATTACCCAACCTCAAACCAACATTGCATTAACATTGGGCCAACGGTAGGCCAACTGGTCACGGAGGTATCTGCAATTTGCACAATGATTAATGGCCCAACCTAAAACCAGGGGCACAGTGATTTACATCATTGAACCAAAGGCAAAATAATTTTATCCAGCATCACATACGTAGTAGGGCACTGTAATAACATGTCTGATGCACAGGCAGATCAATGTCCTGATGAAATATCTTAAGCATCTGAAATCTACAGACTGCAAGGTATAACTGAAAAATTAGCAAGCTAATTAATGGATGAATTCTTCAGAGGACTTGATCTGCCTGTGTTGTGGTAGAAACAAAAAGATTAGTGATATATTTTAAACTGTTTAATTAATTCATAACATTACACTGAACAATACCTTCAACCAACTAAATAATGTGATGGGAATGGGAAAATAATACAAAAAGACATCTCAAAGAAACTTATAAAAATATTATAATATTAAATTTAAACAATTATAAATGTATTTTATATGAATTGTTTAATGATTCATGTCAAGAAAATTATTACCAGTCCTGTGAAAGAACTTCCCACCTTATTCCTGGAGTCAAGGCAGTTTTTTTCACTATTATAGTGTTTTTCATCCAATCCAAGATTCACGATTATTTCAATTTTAAAAAAATCTTCATTAAATTAAATTTAAATCCAGAAACCCTTGATTAATATCAGGTAAGGTGTTTAAAATTAAAAAGAACTGTCATTAAGTAAGATAAGTTACTAGTTAGTCTATAAAATCACATAAAGTCTCTTCCTTCAGGCAAAATCTCAGACATTGTCTCTTCAAATAAAATCAGTGGTCATATGAATGCAATCTTCATTTTTTTCTCTCTCGATCTTTCCTGTCCTGCGCCTGCATGATCTTTGGCAAAGCACAATTAGTTAGGTGTATCTTCAACATCTTTTTCTGAACAGTCACAGAAGAGTGTGCTGCATCTACAAATTTAAATATTAAAATTTTAACTTGAAATATAATGCTGGAATTATTATGCATATGCATCATATGCATAACATTTTTACATGCCTGACTATACCTCTTTCCACATCACTGTGTTCATGTACATACTAGTAGTTGTGTATTATAATATAATATGATAATCTCCCCATGTACTTTAAGTTAGGCAAAAGCTAACATCTTTAACTTTTACAAGTGAGTGTCTGTGTGTGCAGTAATTTATAGCAAAATTACTAGTAGTTCTTCCATGTACACTTGACCATGGATTCAGTTTTAAAGGGTTTAAAATCCCATACAACTGTACTGTACAACTGAATACTATATTATTTAGTACTACCAACAACTCTATCACAGAATTCACTGGCAAGGATTCATACAGACACATACGAACAATCGGCTTTGAAGGACCATTAAGGCTCTAATTCAAGTAATTTTCAGGGAAAGGTATTATCCCCATCTGTGAAATTATTGTCTGTATATATGTCAAGCTTGAAGTAATATTTTACCAAGGGCAAAAATGGTGAAATACAAACCCTTTTCAAACCTAATAGCAATGCAAGTACAAACAAAAATCAAAGTGCTGGACTAAATTTGAATACTGTTCAAGGCTGTATGGATCCTGGTGCATCAGTAAATTATATGGAGAAATACAAAATTGAAAGACACTTACATGCTCACTTCTTATCCTGTCTCTTTATCTCTTCATTTTCTTTCTAGTTTCCAAAAGATGTATTCTTTTTTAATCCAGAAATCAATGTTTTCAGTCTCTTCCTTATAGAACATTCTTGACCCTCTGGCTTAGATGTTTGAAATGGCTTAACCGTTGCGTTGGGCGCTTAAACTGACCTGATTGAGCATGCTGTAGGCAAACAGTTTATATCAAACTGACAGTTAAGATAAACACCTGGCTTGAAATGAATTTGGTCTATTGAAAGTAACCAGTTTATTTTAATCACAAGTCCAGCTTAAATAGATGCTAACTATGAGGTTTACAATTTATATATTATGCAGTTGTACATTATAATGAGACTCCAAGCATTTGTCTGATTTCAATAATAATAATAATAATAATATAATTATAATAATAATAAATATAATGTTTTCGCAGCATTATTGGAAAAAATTTTTTTTTCATTCAGTTCTTTATATAGGTGAAGTACTTGTAGTAGTACTATATATGAATGTTTATTGCTTGGAGGATAAATTAAAGCAGAAAACTGATTTTAACTCAAGGAATTTAAACTCATAATGAAAAAAAAATTAAAAAAAATTATATATGTTTCTTTTAAGCCTAATAACTCTATGTATATGATCAATAGATAAGTATATGTGCTTCTCAGTTGTGAACAGAAACACTTTCAAATTAATTATTGGGTTGTTAATTGCATACGTTGACTAAGTTGGCCCAACGTTGGCACAACGTGTGCATATTGCAGTTACGTTATTTCATAAAATGATGTGGTTGGGCCAACGTTGGGCCAACGTGTACATATTGCAGTTACATTATGCATAAAATGATGTAGTTGGGCCAACGTTGGGCCAACGTAATACTGCCAACGCCAACTATGTGCCAACAAACCAACCATTACCCAACGTTGGCCCAACGTATGCATGCTATCTGGGATAATACTAGATTGATTATATTACTAAGTTCCTTTTGAAAAAGTTTACTGACTGACCTTTAAGAAAGTAATCAATGTGAAATCAATTCTATTGAATTTGTAAATCATTTTCTTATTTTTTTAAAATAAATATCAAAAATTATATATTTACTCTTCCAAGGAAGCCAACAGAAGAGCACATAGCAAGCCAGGCGCTGTTCCGTTTGTACCAGAGAGAAAGAAACATGTCGTTGGAGAGGTCAAATGACAGGAATATTTATTTCCTTATTTATGTAATGTTCTAGGACTGTCATTCTGTGTATTTTACTTGGAAAAACATGTGAATCATATGCATCCAGTCAGTTAATTTTTAAAGCTCATGTAATGGACTCTGTTTCAATGTTTTAAAGATATTCTATACCTATTTCAAATTTGTTCCCAAAGTCATATTTTTTCATGTCTAAATATCCTTCATGATTACGTATCTTACCCAATTCACACTTTATAAACTAGAAAATCCATCAAATGATGTTGATATTTCCTTTTGGAATGTCAGAAACAAGGATGCTTGGTTTAGAAGTAAGCTTAATTGGAATTGTTAGAAAAGATCCAAATCTAATGTAGAACTGGTAGTGCAACGTGTCATGAGTTATAAACTTTTTTCTTGTGGGATAATTACATTTGGTGCAAAAACACTAAAGAATATCTTTGGCCAGTCATATTTTTTCATGTCTAAATATCCTTCATGATTACGTATCTTACCCAATTCAGACTTTATAAAACCAGAAAGTCCATCAAATGATGTTGATAGTTTCTTTTTGGATGCCAGAAACAATGATGGCTGGACTAGAAGTAAGTTGGAATCATTAGAAAAGGTCCAAACCCAATACAAGGCCTGGTTGTGCAACGTTTCATGAGTTACATTTATTTCTCGAGGGAAAATAAAATTTGTTGTAGAAAAACTATACAGAATATCTTTGACCATTGTCAAGGAAATATGGAACATGCTTTGATTACACTAGCAGAAGTTCATTGTAATATACGATAATCCGTGAACTGTCCTTTGAACGGCTTATGCAACGGAAAAGGGTCTGGATAAAGCCGGCCTGTAATACAACTACTAAAAAGTGTTAATCTCTGAAATATAAGGTGACAGTATAATTACCTCAAAGAGACTTTCTAATTGCACTACTTTTATTATTATTGTTATTGTTAAGCATTTTACTATGACATTCATCTCAATACACAGCATTGGATTCATTTTAAATAATCAATTATACGCTCTCCATATATACCTTTACAACCAATAAGGCACTACTTTTCGTACTGTATCTTGTTATTCTGCATTGCATTATTTAAACCATGCATTATGTAAGGCATTAAACATAGAAGGACCAGTTATTTTATTGGCGTTTTTCTATTCATTTTTCTACCAACGATTTAATTTCGTGGTGTCGCGAGATGGTCCTCCCCTATTTTCTAAAATGGAAGGGCAATGGGCAGATGGTAGGAACCATTCGGACCAGTGGACAGTTAAACTTTGCTCAGTTCTAAGTGAAGGACATGTGCAGCATCTACTTTGGGATCGTGCCAGTAAACTTGGCTCCATCTTTCCCATGCCTTTCAGGGCCTACTGCTGCGTACCCGCCATCTACCGAGAGATCAGCGCCAGTGATGAAGGATGCGTCTTTGCTGCAGAGGAAGACAATGGCGGCGGCAACTTCTGCGCTTTCGCCGAGACGGTTCATCATGTGACATCCCTCGAACCACTTCTTTTGGTCTTCATCGCCTGCGAAAAATTTTGCGACCTGAAATATGAATGATATTATTTTGGCAGTGTTTTTATTCTGTTTTTCTTCTTTTCCGCACAGCCTTTAATATGGATTTTGATTATCAGCATTAAAGCCATGACATTCTCGCTTCAGCTACCCTCATTCAGCGTTCCTTCAATCAAATTTGAAGATATCCGTGAATCTTCTGATACCCTCCACCCCCTCTCTCCCTCTTTTTTTCTCTCGCCACACACTCACTTACCGATGCCGTATTTATTGATCCCGGTGACACGGAGTTCACCCGTATGTCATCTTTGGCCAGGTCCAGTGCCATACACCGGGTCAGCTCCAGCACGGCACCTTTACTGGTACAGTACGTCCACTTATTGGACGATGACACGTGGGCGAAGATGCTAGCTATATTGACGACTGATCTGGCGTCAGGTTGGGCTGTGTTGGTGAAATATCAGTGAAATATTGCTTAAGTACTGTGCTAATTGCTAAAATATTGACAAAATATGATAAATTTCATATACGGAGATTGATGGTATGTTGACTTTTTAACTTTTTTCGATGGAGAAAATTTGTTTTCAAATTGGAGTAAAGGCCCCTTCACAGTAGACGGCGTACTTTCTGCGTTCCTTCCAAGTTCTGCGATCAAAAATGTGGTCAGTGCGCTAAATACCCCGGTTACACCTACACGACGCAGGGTCGACGCTCGACCGAAAAAATTGGCAACTCTGGCAATTTTGGCCAGTGCGTTGTTATGCGTCTGCATTCGTCAAACGCGCCGGACGAGAGTTATGCATTCGTTTTCATTCGTTGTCATTCGCTCTTGTGCGTCTGAATTTTTGTGTCATGTGTGGTCAGTCTCTTTCTCTGTGCGATCGTTTTGAACATACCCAAAACTGCGGTGACCATGGCGTCTGCGCGATCCAAGCTATGACCGTGCGTTCTTTGAGCGTTCAATGGCGACCTGGCCAGTTAAATGGTCGCACAAAGGACGCAGAAAGGACGCCGTCCAGTGCAAAGGGGGGGTTAAGAAAGGACTTGGCTGCACGATGTAGGTTTTGCTGTTATTACGGTGGACAGCAAGGATTCATGCTCATACTCGTACCAGGTGAAGATAGAGGGGAGAGAGAGGGAGAAAGAGAGAGAGAGAGATGGAGAGGAGGAGAGAGAGAGAGAGAGAGGAGAAGAAGGAGGACAAAGTGGAGGAGAGATGTGTATTTTACCTGTCTTCATGTGAGGGAAGCAGGCCTGTACCATATTCGAGTATCCAGCCACATTCACACTCATGACTTGTGCCCAGTCGGACGTGTCGGCATCTAGAGCTGTGAACAAAGACGAACGTTGATTTAATATTGAGAACCGAGGGGAGAGAGCAGGGATATCAGGACCCCCCCCCCCCTCGACCAGCCTGACCCATCACCCATCCCACAGTGGCATACACAATGTTTTTTTTTTCTGATTTTGTTTTATCTAGAGGCAACGCGAGTCTCTCGTTTCTTACGTCGCGTGCTCTGGCTCTGTGAATTGAATTGAAAATAAGCACTCTGAGAGCGCAGATCTCCGCCAAGGCAGCGATTTTTGATTATTATTGATTAATAATTGATCCGGATCACCACCAAAAACTAACCCTCTCTTCCTTGGCCCACTTCTGACATTTCCTGAAAATTTCTTCAAAATCGGTCCACAACTTTTTTAGTTATGTTGATGACAAACAAACAAACGAGGGTGAAAACATAACCTCCTTGGCGGAGGTAACAAACAGACAAACAGGGATGAAAACATAACCTCCTTGGGGGAGGTAACAAACAGACAAACAGGGGTGAAAACATAACCTCCTTGGCGGAGGTAAAAAAATGAGTAAGGGTTCATGCATTATGGATCACAGCGCGAGTTAAGTTTTAAATTGTCTCACGTTCGCACCTTACGTCAGGTAGGTCTATGCGGGTGTATTCAGTGGATCCGTTCACCCAAATATTCTTAAATCAGGTCATTGCTGTTGATGCATGTAGACAAGATATATAAACTGGGAAATACAACATTGGTCAAAAAGTTTGTCCCGCCCACGAGCACATCCTAATGCTAATTGTGTGTGAATTTGGTTACATTTGACGGCGTCTTTTTAATTTAATAGACATTCCTTTACATCCGTGGAAATCACAGTGAAACATTAAGTTTGAGGGGGTACCTGTTATAAATTTGACTAATGGTATAAAATGTGCATATTTTCACCACTATTTTGTTTGAACCATTAATCGCGTTATCTGGAATAAAAAGCACCGGTTCTAACAATTTACATCAAATTGGTGATCTTTATTCCCAGGCCACCCCCTGATTGTAAAAAATGCCACAAAACATGCTGTCTTTATCAAACATGCACTTATAATTAAGTGATTTTGGGGAAATGCTCGTGGGGTGTCGGAAAGCGTTTTTTGCAATCCGTAACTTCTACTTACCTTTATATATGAATACCGCGGCACAGTTCACAAGAAAGTTGATGCAGCCACCGTACTGGTTAGCTACGTGGCTAACGGCCTTGAAGCACGCCTCTCTGTCGGAAACGTCGACCTGGTAAAATTTCGTCTCAAAGCCAGCCGCCTGGAGCTCAGCCTCCAGCTGTTTCCCGGCAACTTGGTCGATGTCGAAGAAGGCAACAAGTGCTCCGTCATTCAAGAATCGTCGTACACATGCACTGCCTATACCACTGGCTCCCCCTGTGACTATAGCTACACGCCCCTTGAATCTGTCCTTAGTGTTTGCTGCATCCAGGCTAGGTTGAAGAGCTGCCATCTTAAGTCACTTCTGACCTGGTTTTCCTTTTTGAGAGATCAAAGGCGAGAAATTGGTGACCTATTTTGGGTTGGCCTGCTAGTATTGTTCAGTTTTTTAGTGTGAGGGCGTGTGTGTGTGTGTGTGTGTGGGGGGGGGGGGGGTCGGTGCGCCATCGGAGCTTAGTAAGATATTGTCGCTGGTTATAATGACTGGCCAGTCATTTTAAACTAAATCGACTTTTATTAATTTAATTAAAAGGTCGAATTCAAGTGCAGAGAGGTAAAGATAGCTTAATCGATCGTTGGTACGAGAAAAGTGCTTATATCCCTTGAAAAATCAATTTTAGCATTTTGCCTTTAAAGAAGCGTCTCTTTACATGCTGTTTTTTGACTGGGTTCCCGTAACTTAAAGGGCTGCTCGCTAAATTGCTTTCAGCTTAAGCAGCTTAGGCCTCATTCAGAATAGGGGACTAACTATAGTGTGATTTAATATGCAAGTGTATTTCGCTTTATTTCATCTGACACACACATGCCCTAGAGATCAGAATAATAATTGTGTGACAGACGTAAGGGGTATCAGTACAATCCTCTCCCCCCCCCGGACCCCCCCCCCCCCCTGGACAATCCCCCCCCTTGCCCTAGAATCAAGCCCCCTTTACACTGGACGGCGTCCTTTCTGCGTCCCGCAGCACGGCGCCGTTTGAGAGTAAAAAATATAATACTTTATGTCATCATTGAGCATTCATTCTGCAACCAGAGCTATACTTGTGCTTTTTTTCTACGACCTCAACGGTGCCAGTTTCATGGTCGCACAAAGGACGCACAAAGGACACCGTTCAGTGTAAAGGGGGTTTAACATGAGATTGAACGCTGATTTTATTGCCGGGTGGGTCGCTGGGATAGTCCTGGGCTCGGAATCTCGAAAGGTTCGCTATGTTGCGCACACGCTCTAGCATGGCTAGCGTGCGCTATCCCGTATCTCGAAAGAATCGCTATTTTGAGCGCCTGCGCTAGCATGGCTAGCGTGCGCTATCCCGTATCTCGAAAGCTTCGCAAATCCCGGCCGTGCGCTAATGTCCAAATCGCCATTAGTTTCGAGGCTATTATTTGCGGCGATACAAACTAGTCGCAAAGGCCTCTGCGAATGCAAAATTCGTCATTTTAATATGTCTTTCATGTAATTAAACATGGTGGCAAGTTTGGGTTGCTAGTCATAATAGCATATAATAAAACATATAACAAAAACATGGAAGCTTTTAATTGATTGAATCACTGGTACCTCTGATAGAAAAACTTGCGGTAAATATTCACGTGAAGAATGCCAAAGTCATGTTTTATTATGCAGAAAATTTCAAAATTAAACATTTCATACATCATTTTATATTTTCTGGTGCATTTAATTCATCTGTGTAGTCTATTGATAATAATAATAAATTTAAAAGTGTCATTTTCCACACAAAATGAAAAAGCAGAAAGAAAGCATTCGGTCGCACCGTCACCTTCCTCAATGTCTATTATTGTGAGACTGAACACTACTCACCAGTGTGTCAGTAATTGTGTCAGTCCAAGCTTCGCTTATTGAATTGTTTTTTGACATTTTATTGGTGTCAAATACTTCAAATATCAGTATTTGTTATTATGATATTCCTATAAATTAAAACAACCTCTTGATTTGCGTCATGGTGAAAAAAATTGCATTTTGTGTAATTGTGTTATGACGTCTTCACTTTATGCGGCAATCGAATATTAGTAGAGTTTGAGGTTATAATTGCGTTGCGTCTGCTAAGGCTTCGAGATAGCAGGTGGGTGCAATCGCACTAGCAAATAGCGCACGCTAGCTATGCTATAGCGCGTGCGCAACATAGCGAACCTTTCGAGATTCCGAGCCCTGCTTCTTAATAGGCGTGGCGAGAGCCTTATTTATCATTGATTTTATCTATCATTTATTATTTTATTTACGAATAGGAGTACTGAAAGTTTTATTTATTATTTATATTTTTCTATTCTGTATTTTGAATACAGGTGATGAGTTATATTTATATTTTATGATTAATTACTTTTTATAATTAATTATTATTAAAAAAAAAAGCATAGTAAGAGTTTTATTTGATACTTTTCACATGACTTTTTATCTTTTTCAAAGTCTCAATCACAGTAAGTTACTAATCATCTTAGTTTACTCTCTCCAAAATTGTTCATAGATTTGCAATCCATAAATTCCTGTTATCGAGTTCTAACTTTCTAAATTTTGAGCTGCTTTTGTAATGAAAATTGAGAAAGGTGAATTTCACTTTGGATCATTTTAGAAAAAAAAAAGAAATTTAGAATTCCAAAATTGGTTTATGGATGTTCATAAATAATAATAATGTATAATAATAATGACTTGATAATTAAGTTAACAAACTGTCTTTTATCACGTGTTAGATATTTTTGGCCTCTTGAGGCAAATGGCTCAGGTGGGGGGTGCAAGCGCCGATTGCTCAAGTCATGCCAACAATGCGCATGTGCCGGTAGCCGGAAACAAAGAAAAATGGAAGCCTCCAGCGAAGTAAACAAAAATGTACACAGTTATAGTTAGTCTGATTGATTAACGTGGTCACCATTTTCCATTCTTTCAGAAAAAAATTAATATGTAATGCTCCTTAATCACATGATCCCACATTTCGCGGTGCATTCGATAGGGGCAGGCCGGGAGGCACCTCTGCTGAACAGTTTGAGGGGAGCTGAGGAGCGCGAGCATCTGGCGCAGCGCAAGTGGCGCGCGCCACTTGCACCCCTCACCGGTGTGACTGAATTGCGCAATATACCGCAATACAGCGCAACACAGTGCAATGCACTTGAAAAATCACATCCAGTTGCAATTACACAAAAGAAATGACCATTCCCAGCAAAGTAGGGTGACATAAAAACAACCATTATTACTAGGCAAGTTACATCGATGATATAACTTAACAAATCAGCAAGACTTTTATATTGTCCAGTTGGCATCCATGTTGGCGAGTGGCTCTTCTTGGATATATTACTGGCCAAGAAGAGCTACTCGCCAACGCGGCGGCTGACCAAACAATGAAAAAATTGTGCCGATTTGTCAAGTTGTATCAGCAATATTAATTACTATGTACCATGTTTTGCTTTTATATCACCCTATTTTATTTGAGATTACCCTTTCTTGTGTTTACTTGCAACTGGACTTGTGTTATCAAGTGTATTGCGCTGTGTTGCGCTGTATTGCAGTGTATTGCGCAATTCAGTCACACTATTATTGCTCACCGTGTGCGGGGTGCTTAAGTAATTCAAGTAAAGTTTCATTTAAAAATATTACTTTCGATTAATACATCAGTTCTTTCTTGCCGCAGCTAAGACCAAGAGAGAAAAAGGCATTTGCATATAGTGAAAAACTGAAGGAGAAATTTTCGCACGAACCCCAAATCAGCCGTCACCGCCACGTCCCCAAGATGATCTATATAACGCCTCGCAGGAGATAAGAGAGATAATATAAAGCCATCAAGGAAAAGAAAGTATGTTAATAATGTTTAAAGTTTTATCAATAGTAGTATTAAAAACTTAAAATGATAAATACTATGAAAAAACAATATAAAATGACCTAGTATTAAGCATAAATTTTATTTTCTTTAGTCTATTAAACACCAATGGACACTTCTGTATATAATCCCAAATTGCAAAATAAGTGACTGTCAAAATTTGAAGACATTATAAATGTATTTCTGTTAGAAGTCAAAACTTAGTCGTATAATAGCAAACTGTTCATATCACTTCCTTTAGGAAAGGTAGACTCACTGACCTTTTAGAAAGTAAAAATGTAAAATGATTCTATTGAATTTGTAATTTTTTAAAATAAATTTATATCAAGAATTATGTATTTACTCTTCCAAGGAAGCTAACAGAAGAACACATAGCAAGCCAGGCGCTGTTCCGTTTGTACCAGAGAGAGAAAGAAAAATGTCGTTGGAGAGGTCAAATGACAGGAATATTTTTAAATATTAACTATAATTAAAATTATATCCTTATTTATGTAACGTTCTAGGACTGTGTGTATTTTACTTGGAAAAATGTGAATCATATGCAACCAGTCAGGTGACTTTTGAAGCTCATGTATTGGACTCTGCTTCAATGTTTTAAAGATATTTTATACCTATTTCATATTTGTTCCCAAAGTCATACTTTTTTGTCTAAATATTCATCATAGTTTCGGATCTCACCCAACTAGAAAATCCATCAAATGATGTTGATAGCTTCTTTACGAATGTCAGAAACAAGGATGCTTGGTTTAGAAGTTAATTGGAATGGTGGAAAAAATCCAAACCGAATTCAGGACTAGTTGTGCAACGTGTCACGAGTTTAAAATTGTTGGTATTTTTTTCTTAAGGGAAAATAACATTTGTTCCCCCCCCCCCCAAAAAAAAAAAAAAAAAAAAAAAATCCTGGACCTACCTATTTGAATTCCGTACCGTGAACGTCTGTACTAGCAAGATAGCAAATATACAGCACAATTTGTTAAACTAAAGCTTATACACAAGGTCATGGATCTGAATTTTGGTGTAAATTAAGAGAGACAAATGAAAAAAAATTGAAAATGTCAATAACACGGACATCAATTTGTCTGTGCTTGTGTGAAGTATTGGCAGATTGGTGCTCTCTCCCTTCCCTCATCTCTCCATCTCTCTCTCTTTGGTAACATAGTATGCTATCGTGAAATGAAATGCATTCAATCAGGGTGACTGTTATTTTGGCTTTTCTGATTNTTTCAAGTTTTAAAATTTTTGGGTTTTTTTTTTTTAAGGGAAAAAAACATTTTTCCCCCCCCCCCCCAAAAAAAAAAAAAAAAAAAAACTATACAGAATATCTTTGACCATTGTCAAGGACATACGGAACATAAAGTCATCAACATAACTCAAAAAGTTACGGACTGATTTTGATAAAATTTTCAGGAACTGACAGAAACGGATCAAGGAAAAAATTATTAGTTCTTGGTGGTGATCCTGATCAATAATCGATCAGTAATCAATAATAATCAAAAATTGCTGCCTTGGCGAAGGTCAGCGCTCTCGGAGTGATTTTCTAGTTTTAATATACAGGGTTGCTACTTAATATGGAATATTTTTTATCATTGTTATTTTTGAGTCCTGATTAAAATTTTTTGGCTTGAGTCATTACAAAAGTATGTCACTGAGTGATAATAACATCCAGTCTTCTGTTGGAAGATATTTTGGTCAATAATATCAAATCTGACATAAGATGCCATTCAAAAGAAAGGAACACCCCCAGAAAACCATATCAACAGTTTGAAGTCAGTATAAACTTTAAGATAAGATATAAAAGAAAAGATAGCCTCCGGACAGTGATACGTTACACAGTCAAAGAACTCACAACAGTAAATCATGAAAAGTCAGTAATTGCGGGTATGACCTCCAGCAGCCGCTTGCAGCGCCCTCATCCTACATGGCATACCCTGTGACACGTTTTTTAGAGTTTGGGTGGGGATATCATTCCACGCAGTGACATTTGCCTGTCGCAGTCCATCACTATTTACCGACCGAGGACCATAGCTATTAATTCTGTGAGTTACTTCCGCCCACAGATTTTCAATTGGGTTCATATCTGGAGAGTTTGCAGACCAGGGCAGTTGCTGAACCCATTGGTTTTGAAGAAAAACAGTGATTCTGCGGCCTCGATGTGGGGTTGCGCAGTCGTCTTGGTACACAAAGTTGTTCCTGAAGATGACTCTTACCAATCGAAGCATTGTTTGTTGTAGAATGTCTCTGTAGGAATCTTGGATGAGGTTGCCTCCTTGAAAAACCAACTGGTTCTGGGCACCGACATGAAATGCTCCCCAAACAGAGACGTTACCACCCCCTGCTTGCACCCTAGGCAGTACACAATCATCGTTTTATGTCCCTCGTACACGTCGGTGGACACGGATTCGACGATCAACCCTAAAAGATCAATATCTGGCCTCATCACTTAAAACGACGTGAAACCAGTGTTTTGGCTGCAAACGCACGGGGTCCCCAGCCCATTGCAGACGTCGCTGTATATGACCTACTGTTAACAGTGGTTTCCGTACTGGCCTTCTTGCAAAATAACCGGCTTGCAGAAATCTTTTGTTCACGTGGGACCTTGAAACGGGCGTTTGAATAACATTCTGCATGTCTTTTCTGAGGACACTGGTTTTCTTTGTACGACCAGCACGGCGTCCTCAAAGGAGAAGGCGATCCTGTCTTCTTGGTGTGATAAGCGGACACCATGGTCGAGGTATTGGAGTAGGTGCCCCTGTTGCAGCATTTCTTTGGAGGACTTCACAAACGGTTCCTGATAAATGTTTAATTACCTGGCAATGGCTGTCCGTTTCTGGCCAGTTTTTTGAGAGCAAGAATCCCATAGTAAGCTGCATTGATTGGCTGTCGAACCAATATCTTCACTAAGGTACCTGTCAAGTTCCAGAGCGATCCTTTTGTTGCTTCTCTAAACACACTCCAAAGATTGACCAAACCCATGCGTTTTTATACAAGGGCAGAAATTGCCGAAAAGACCACCCCTCACATTTCTGACCACAGAACATGCAACTGCATGCATCAATTGTTTCGAGAGTTGTGTGGTAATTAGGTAACACACCTGGCTACACATGGAGTGACACCTCAGCTTTGGATTTAAAGAAGTTAGAGAGAAATTAAATATTTTGTAGAAAATTTACTCGCCCAAAAATAATATTCCATATTAAGTGGTAAACCTGTAGGATAATCTGTGAACTATCCTTTGGAGGGCTTATGCAACAACAAAGGGTCTGGATAAAGCCTGCAATACAACTATCAAAAAGTGTTAATCTCTGAAATACTAGGTGACAGTATAAACACCTCAAAGAGACTGTAAAATGTCACTGCACCTTTATTTACCTCCGCTAAGGAGGCTATGTTTGCACTTCTGTTTGTCTGTCTGTCATCAACATTACTCAAAAAGTTATGGACCGATTTTGATGAAATTTTCAGGAACTGTCAGAAGCGGACCAAGGAACAGATGATTAGTTTTTGGTGGTGATCCGTATCAATAATCACTAATCAAAAATATCGAAAATTTAGGGGTGAAACGGCAGTGGATGGAGACTTTACTGCCTTGGCGGAGGTCTGCGCTCTCTGAGTGCTTTTCTAGTTATTATTGGTATAATTTGGCATTTTTATTTTTACACACATCTCACTACCAAGCATGGTTCAATTAAAAATAAGATACAATACGAAAAAGTAGTCCATTATTGGTTGTAAAGGTATGAATGGAGAGAGTATAATTGATTATTTAAAATGAATCCAAAACGTATCGTGTGAGGCATTAAACATAGAAGGACCAGTTATTTTATTGGCGTTTTTCTATTCATTTTCTACCAACTATTTAATTTCGTGGTGTCGCGAGATGATTCACCTCTATTTTCTAAAATGGAAGGGCAATGGGCACGTGGTCGGAACCATTTGGGCCACTGCACAGTGAAACTTGGCCTAGTTCTAAGTGAAGGACGGCCGCAGCATCTACTCTGGGATCGTGCCCGTAAACTTGGCTCCGTCTTTCCCATGCCTTTCAGGGCCTACTGCCGTGAACCCGCCATCTACCGGGAGATCGGCGCCCGTGATGAAGGATGCGTCTCTGCTGCAGAGGAAGACAATGGCGGCAGCAACTTCTGCGCATGCTCCGATACGGTTCATCATGTGACATCCCTCAAACCACCTCTTTTTGTCTTCATCGCCTGATATGAAGTTTGCGAACTGAAATATGAATGATATTATTTTGGCAGTGTTTTAATTCTTTCTTCTGCTCCGCACTGCCTTTAATATGGATTTTGATTATCAGCATTAAAACCATGACATTCTCTCTACAGCTCATCTTATTAAAGGTACGAGCATCGGTGGAGCGTGGATTAATTCCCAGTAACACATGTAAACCACTGCTACTAATTTCTTATACGACTCTAAAAAATTCGACATGCCAAGGGATAAACAGAATAAATCACCCGATCAGCCATAAAAGAGCTTTAGAGTGCTCCTTTCTTTAAATTTTTGGTTGTCAATTTAACCTACTTTTGTGACCTACTTTTCTGCCCCATTGACATACAGCATAGAAAGCTAGCAGAAAAATCTGTTCAAACATCACTTTCCGGTAAAATTAAACAATGCCTTTTGGTAATTCTCTTAGTTATACTACTTGAAACTATATGCTGGCATTTGGTTGGTTTTTATGACAAAAAATTGACTTTGTATGTACCTTTAAGCATTTCTTCAATCAAATTTCAAGATATCAGTGAATCTTCTGATAACACCCCCCCCCCTTTCTCTCACACACACACACACACACACACACACTTACCGCTGCCGTATTTATGGCTCCCGGTGACACAGAGTTCACCCGTATGTCATCTTTGGCCAAGTCCAGTGCCATACACCGGGTAAGCTCCAGCACGGCACCTTTACTGGTACAGTACGTCCACTTACTGGCCGATGCCACGTGGCTGAGGTTACTGGCTATATTGACGACTGATCTGGCGTCAGGTTCGGCTGTGTTGATTAAATATTAGTGAAATATTGCTTAAGTACTGTACGAATTGCAAAAATATTGACAAAATATGATACATTTCAGATGTGGAGATTGAAGGAATGTTTACTTTTTAATTTTGTTCGATTAGAATTTGTTTTCAAATTGGAGTAAAGGCCCCTTATCAGTGGACGGCATCCTTTCTGCGCTCAATACCCCGGTCACACCTACACGACGCAGGGTCGGCGCTCGACTGACGCGTTAAAAAAAAAAAGGCAACTCTTGCAATTTTGGCATTCGTCAAACGCGCCGGACGAGCGTAATGCATTCGTTTTCAATCGTTGCCACTTTCTCTTGTGTGTCTGAATTTGTGTGTCAGGTGTGGCCAGTACGTCTAACTCTCGTTCTCTCTGCGATCGTTTTGAACATACCCAAAACTGCGGTGACCATGGCGTCTGCGCGATCCAAGCGATGACCGTGCGTTCTTTGAGCGTTCAATGGCGACCTGGCCAGTTTAATGGTCGCATAAAAGAAGCAAAAAGGACGCCGTCCAGTGCAAAGGGTGCACGATGTAGATTTTGCTGTTATTACGATGGACAGCAAGGATTCATGCTCACACTCGCATAAGGTGGAGATAGAGGGGAGAGAGTGGGAGAAAGAGAGAGTGAGAGAGATGCAGAGGATGAGAGAGAGAGAGAGAGAGAGGAGGAGGACAAAGAGGAGGAGAGATGTGTATTTTACCTGTCTTCATGTGAGGAAAGCAGGCCTGTACCATATTCGAGTATCCAGCCACATTCACACTCATGACTTGTGCCCAGTCGGACGTGTCGGCATCTAGAGCTGGAGAACAAAGACGAACGTTGATTTAATCAAGAAGTTATAAAGTTATAACTTCTTGATTTAATGTTGAAAACCAAGGGGAGAGAGTAGGGATATCAGCCCCCTCCGGCCAGTCCGACCCATCACCCATCCCACAGCAGCATACACAATGTTTTTTATCTGATTTTGTTTTATGTAGATGCAAGCGAGAGTTGCTCTTGCGCTGTGAATTTGAAGGCGAAAAAAGGGATGGTTACGACTAACATCCCATTTCCATAGATTTTTAGATCGATCTATCCCTGTGGGGAGTCTCACTAGATTGCTGTCAGCTTGGCCGGCTTAAGCGTCTGTCCCGCCTACTAAAAGCTGTAAAGGGGTAATTAACTATGGTGCCCGCTCGGCTGACTGCAATTTAGCGTGAACCCCCAGGGAGTTAGGTCGATCTAAATCTTAATCTTTATATCGAGCTAAATCTCTGGGAAAGCACCCTTAATGTTTATGCATTATGGATCACAGCGCGAGTTAAGTTTTAAATTGAAATTTAACAAAAGGGGTGTTATTTTCGTTAGAAAAGCTGGAAAAATTATGCCAGCTGGCAGAACAGATCTGCACTGGTTGAACAGCTCTCTCGCTGGTAGATTAGAAACCAACAGGGAAAGGTGACCGAATCGACCATTCTCGGCCAACCCCCTGATTGTAAGAAATGCCACAAAACATGCTGTCTTTATTAAACATTCACTTTTAAATTAT